CTAACTCAGAACAGCAGCCTGGAGGTTTAACTCCCTGAAATGGAGAGCTTTTCAAACCTCCTTTCAGGTTTTCTTTGTTCCTTGTTTTTTTTTTGTTCCATACTGACCTTGACTGTGGGATCAATGGTTCATAGCCAGGATATATTGAGGGACTAGTTCAACCTAGGAGGAGTTTGGGACATTAGAGGACAGGCTGTTTTTCTGTCCGGGAGGTGTGGACACTCTTAATCTTCTGTGCTTCGCTTTGAGGGACGGCTTTGTGAACATGTGTCTGTCTCAGCTTTTCAAGTCTGGGCTTCAAGAGCTGATGTGTGAACTTCCTAGAGCAAGCCCTGGGAGTACTCAAGAGAGCTACCTGATCCCATTGCATTGTCTTTTGTCATTTCTGAAGCACAGATTTTGTTATTCCACTCCATGTTGACCTCAGTAGGATGAGTTAGAGTCTGAGAATTGTTGTGTTTGTTTTTTTTTAAAGACTGCTTTCCATTAATTCTGCATTACCTTGCTTTTCTGAGTTTAAATCTTAAAGCCGTACTTAAAGTACCAAAGAAGTTTTAGCCACACGATTGCCATTTGACGTGGGGAATTGAATGGCTAAGCCCCTGCATATATGCAATAGCTTGTATGCTGCTGGGTAGCTTGTATAATTGCTCTTTATACATTAAGCAACCAAGTGCCGATTTGTGTACATATGTAGGTTCATCCTTTACCAATTTCCTGTGACTGATAGTTTCCAGGAGATTAAAAGAATAGCTGGTTCCTGTTTTTTTTTCTCTTCTCTTTATTTTTGTCCTTTAGCAAGAATATTTTTGTGTGTGTGTTTAATAGCATTCATTCCCTAGAGAATAATCTCAGTCCTTGTTTTAGCTGGCCTCCTTCTGAGAGTGTGTTAAATCTGTAGCCAAGATCACAGGCAGCTCTGGGCAAATCATTGGGCTGTTATTAACCTGCCTCCATGGCAACTGCTGCTCGCCAGCCTGAGGACAAAAAATGTTTTTATTCTGCTGAGTTGCACAAAAGGTTCTAGTGCTGCCTTGCACAAAATGGCCATTGAAGGGGGAGATGCAGTGATGTGTGTTTGTGCTGTACAGTTTCATATTTAAATCGTTTTGCACTGCTGTGTTGGAAGTGGATGAACAGCTGAAAAGTTCAGCCGTGTTGGCCATATGAAAAGTAAAAGCTAGCAGAAAATTGGAACTAAACTTATTTTAATACTACCTGTTTTTGTCAGCTTGAGTTCACAGGCCTTCAGCCTGCGGTTGTCATCAGTGCGTTATCAAGTTACTTTGTGAGCATGAACCAGGCAAACATCATCATGGGGTTTAAGTTGCACTATATGAAGATACTTGCTTGGGGTTACAGAGAGAGATCATAAAGCAGGTTTCCTGGATAGCTTTCATTTTTTTCAGAAATCCTTTGATTTGCTTCAGTGCTTGTTTGGGAAGCTTGGTAAGCATAGCTTAGTGGTTGATGGGCTTCAAATTTTATCTGTTTTTGAAAGCTGCTTCTGGCAGTACTCTTTTAGGCTTGATTTGTAACAAAATTATAAAACCAGCTGTGTTGCTCAGGCTAGGCATGGATTTAAGCTGCTCATAAAAAGTGTTCGCAGTAGGATCTGTGGGGGGTCTGGCAGCCCCAGCACCATGATGAGGTTGCCTCCTGCAGTTAGTTGCCCTCTGGCAGGAGGCTGTGCAGCTCAGCTGTCAATTTGGGTGCAGAACAACTATGTATATATGGATGCTGTCTCTTGGAAACGTGCTGGTTTGGGATGCTTCCTGCGCTCACAAGCTGGCCGCACACTATTTCTCTGTGAACTGAAGTCCCTCTGCTGCCTGGTTTAGTCTTGGTGCAAGGGCGAGTAGTTTCTGCAGATCTATGTTTGGGCAGTTTTCTCTGCCTTGCTCAAAATAACATGGTTGCTTCTGAGACCTCTTAGGGCATCTGTTGGCCTTGATCTGCGCTGACGAAATTAAGTCCACCCAGATATTGTGGTGTCTTTTTTCCTTGGGCTGTAGAGGAAGACATAATGAGTATGGCCACAAAGATGCTATGTGCAGCTGCCAGTTGCTGGGAAGTGAGAGGGGATTTGCCACTGTTGGCTTGTGTTGGAGGGTCCGTGGATTAGCGGCAGACATTGTATGTTCGGGTAAGGGATCTGACAAACTCACCAGGGCGAATGTTCTGTCAGTGGCCTGGAAAGCCGACTGTGTGGTGTGAGGTGCTGAGGGTACACGTATCTAGTTGGGAAGTGTTATTTATCTATCCTGGGTCTACATGGTGTAGCCAGCAGGACTAGGGATGTGATTGTCCTCCTGTGATCAGCACTGGTGAGGCCACACCTCAAATATTGTGTTCAGTTTTGGGCCCCTCACTACAAGAAAGACATTGAGGTGCTGGAGTATGTCCAAAGAAGGTCAACGAAGCTGGTGAAGGATCTGGAGCACAAGTCTTATGAGGAGCAGCTGAGGGAACTGGGGTTGTTTAGCCCGGAGAAAAACCTGATTGCTCTCTCCTACTACCTGAAAGGAGATTGTAGTGAGGTGAGTGTCAGTCTCTTCTCCCAAGTAACAAGCTATAGGACAAGAGGAAATGGCCTCAAGTTGTGCCAGGGGAGGTTTAGATTGGATATTAGGAAAAATTTCTTCACTGAAGGGGTTGTTAAGCATTGGAACAGGCTGCCCAGGGAAGTGGTGGAGTCACCATCCTTGGAGGTATTTAAAAGATGTGTAGATGTGGTCCTTAGGGACATGGTTTAGTGGTGGACTTGGCAGTGTTAGGTTTGCAGTTGGATTCAATGATCTTAAGGGTCTTTTCCAACCTAAATTATTCTATGATTATATTCTACACCAATTTCTAGTTTTGTCAAGCAAGCTGCTACCATTTTTTGAAACTAGCAGCTTTTCTTCTGGACCTCATCAGTTCCTTGGCTTTGCTTCCAGCTGTTTTCACTTCCTATCTCTGATGGGATCCTTCTGCAAAGCAATCTGTGGATCAGCATGATTAGATGATCAACCTCCTGCACACCAAGCAATGATCTGTCATTTAGTCACCTTCTCTTAGAAGTGTGGTCTGAAAGGCCATTCATTTTCTGCTGGGCCGGGGCCACATGTGTGTTGAGCGTTGCTCGTTGGATTGGAGTGTGGTTGCTCTTGGATCATCCTTCACTGCTAATCCTGTGCCAGGTGCAAGGGTTTCTTGGATTAACTGTTGGAGGTTTGAGTCTGACCTGGGAGCAGATGCTGCGGAGGCGAGCCAGCCTCACATGTATGACTGCCATTGCATCTGGCGTATGGCTTGTGAGCTGCATTCAGGCAGATTCCCCAAAGTAGAGGATGGCTCTGCGAGATCTGGTGTCTGAACTTGACTCTGGACCTCTGTGATAAGATGAAAACCAAAGATATTTCCTTGAATAGCATGCCCTGTCACTGCTAAGCTGCAGTGTTTGTTCTTTTGACAGTATTTTTGTCGTGAAGATAGTTCCTACTGAGTGGACTCCAGCTGTGGGCTTGACTATAAAAGCTTCCCAGGCTTGTTTCTGTACAATTAAATTTCGTGTGCAGTTAGCGAAGTGGCGTTTTATAAGTCATTTTGGTGGTGATAGCTGTGTAAGCCTGACTAGGACACTTGCTAGTGACTCTCTAAAAGAAGAGTTTCCCACTTAGGAAATGGGAAAGCTTTCCATTATCAGATGCATATTATTCCCCAGTGCTTCACGGAATTGTCTGCTCTGCAGCTCATTCATTAGCGGGAAAGGGAGGGGGATAAAAATAAACTTGCTTCATGTGGCGGGTGAAGGCTTGCTGATCTTCGTGAGGAATTTTTGAGGCGGGAAGATGTGACGTGATGTACGGGTTCACCAGCTGTCTCCCTGCCTTCAAACACTTGGTTCGTTTAGTGCCTTCCTGTAGAAGCAGCAGGCTGTTCCTGCGACGTGCAACGCTGGTCGCTCCATTGAACGTTGTCTTAATGGCTTGCGTTTTGCGTAGTTGTATGAGCTGCACATTAATGGAGGCAGCTAAATGCCATCACCCTGAAGTAATGAATTGGTATGGATTGCCATTACTGTTATAGTGCAGTTAAAAGCTGTGTTTGTTTCCGATTTACGTTTCCCAGCTCTGCAAGCAGATGCGTTTTCAGGCCGCGCAATCAGGAAGAACCTGGCAATTCAGCTGCAACCTCCTTATTACAGTGTTTGTAGAGCAGCAGTTATGGGGAGATGTTTTGTTAACTCAGACTGCTCGAACGATGCATTTCATTAAAACTGTGATTATGCAACTACATACTGTATTCAGGGATAAGTGTAACCCCAGTGTATCCTGTAAAGCTGGAAACACGTTGTCTGCATAATACAGCTTCACCTCACTGCTCTTGATAAAAATTGCTACTGTTTGGCACCCATTCAGTTCTTCTGTTGTTAAAATACCTGTATCCCTATAACCTTATATGTATTTATACAAAAAAAGATATTTGGGAATGATTGGGAGAGTGTAGCATGGTTAAGTTTTGCAGACCTCAGTATGTTCCTCTTCAAGTGAAAGTGCAAAGTATCTTTTACTTTTCCAAAAGGCTTCATTGTCTTTGAGTATTTGCTTCTCTGGCTTCCTGAATGGTGCCAGTGTAGCTGATGCTCCTGCCGTTAATGTTGGTAATGCTGAAACGTGGTGAGCTCTGCACGAGCATCTGAATTGCCATGCATCACTTTGGACAAGTGGGTTTTTTTCTTTTTCCATTTCATAGGCTCTCTCATCGATCTCCTCTTGATCCTGTAAAGATAGGAGCACTCAGCCCACTTTCTGGGCTTTGAGTCCATACCAACAGATCTGTAGGTCACAGCTTTAGAGGGTGATGCTGTCTTGCACCACCTATAGATTTTTGCTTAGCATGTCAATGCCTGAGCCTTTTAGTCGCTATGGCTTTTACCAAGCAGAGGACAGATATTCTTTTCCTCACGATTTGCTTTTTGCTCATAACGTTTCTTTTGCTTTCTCTTTTCTGCTTAGGTTGCTTTGAATGTTGCATTAAGTGCCTAGGAGGAGTGCCATATGCTTCGCTCGTGGCAACCATTCTCTGCTTCTCGGGGGTAGCGTTGTTTTGTGGCTGCGGCCATGTGGCGCTCACAGGAACCGTGTCTATCCTCGAGCAGCACTTCTCCACGACTGCCAGTGACCATGCTTTGCTGAGTGAAGTGTAAGTATGCCTCCCGTTTCCATTATTCCTCATAACACCCTCATGCTAAATGAGTAGAGATGGATTCAAACCTCAGTCTCCATCTCGAAGTATTAGGTTGCTTGTTTGTTCAGCAGCACTCAGTGGTTTTTTGGTGTTCATGCACAAAGAACCAGAGCATGTATCCTGCTTCACCTGTTTATACTGGGACCAATACCTTTTAATATCTTCATCACTGCCATAGACAGCGGGATCTAGTGCACCCTCAGCAGGTTTGCAGATGACACCAAGCTGAGTGGTCCAGTTGATATCCATGAGGTAGGGCATGCCATCCAGAGGGACCTTGACAGCCTTGAGGAGTGAGACTCTGTGAACCTCATGAGGTTCAACAATGTCAAGTGCAAGATCCTGCACCTAGGCTGGGGCAATCCCCAGTATCAATACGGACTGGGGATGAATGGATTGAGAGCAGCCCTGCAAAAAAGGACTTGGGGCTACTGGTGGATGAAAAACTGAGTATGAGCCGACAATGTGCACTCGCAGCGCAGAAAGCCAACCATATCCTGGGCTGCATCAAAAGAAGGGCAGCCAGCAGGTTGAGGGAGGTGATTTTGCCCCTCTGCTCCGCGCTGGTGAGACCCCACCTGCAGTACTGCGTTCAGCTCTGGGATCCTCAGCACGGGAAAGACGTGGACCTGTTGGAGCAGGTCCAGAGAAAGGCCACAAGAATGATCAGAGGGATGGAATACCTCTGCTATAAGGAAGGGCTGAAAGAGTTGGACTTGTTCAACCTAGAGAATAGAAGGCTCTGGGGAGCCTTCTAGCAGCCTTCCAGTACCTAAAGGGGTGAAATATGGAGAAATACTTTTCACCAGGGCCTGTTGTGACAGAACAAGGGGTAACAATTTGAATCTGAAAGAGGGTAGATTTAGTGTTTGGTGACACAAAGTTTGAAGGGATAACAGGGGTATCAGGGAAGTGGTGTTCTGATTACCGGCTCTCAGAAGAAGGTGGACTGGTATTGTACAAATCAGAAAAAGGAAAGACTGGAAAGAGCTTGAATGTCTCTGCAACTGTAGCCTTTGGAAATAACCACTGATGAGTCCAGAGGAGGGCCACGAAGATGATCCGAGGGCTGGAACACCTCTGCTATGAAGACAGGCTGAGAGAGTTGGGGCTGTTCAGCCTGGAGAAGAGAAGGCTTCTGATCTTATTGCAGCTTTCCAGTACTTAAAGGGGGCCTACAGGAAAGCTGGAGAGGGACTTTTTACAAGGGTGTGTAGTGATAGGACAAGGGGTAATGGATTTAAACTGAAAGAGGGCAGATTCAGATTAGATACAAGGAAGAAATTCTTCACTCTGAGGGTGGTGAGGCACTAGAACAGGTTGCCCAGAGAAGTTGTGGATGCCTATCCCTGGAAGTGTTCAAGGCCAGGTTGGATGAGGCTTTGGGCAACCTGGTGTAGTGGAGGGTGTCCCTGCCCATGGCAGAGGGTTTGGAACTAGATGATCTTTGAGGTCCCTTCCAACTCGAACCATTCTATGATTCTCTGTAAT